CTGCGCTGTATTCCCTCAAAAACATCTGAATTTTGTGATCCTGCAGCACGCTCATAAGCAAGGGTTCCCTCGCTGACCGTGACCTTGACCTTTCATATGGAGCTCGTGAACTATGGTTTTGACACCAGATATGCCGATATTACACAGTATGTTGTCACGTTGAGGCATATACCCTGGGGAGGCTTTCCATACATGGTTTTTCTTTCGAGCGAGTAGCTCAATCCAATCTGGAGTGGATCTTTAGTAAGTTGGATTCTGGATTCCAATCTTTAGTAGGATTCCGGATTCCTAGTGCTGGATTCCGGATTCCAAATCCCAGGATTCCGGATTCCACAAGCAAAAAATTCATGGATTCCGGAATCCGGATTCCCTTACATGGGACCAAATTTTCGCTGTATTTATTTCTTAGTTTTCGAAACCGCTTTTTACATCGCTTTCTTCGTCTACACCACCTATTGTAATCATCGCTTCGCTTCGCATCGCTTCTTTTTCAACGTTGTTAACGTCTCATCGCTTCGCTTAAATAAACTTTGTTTACATCCTTATCTTCGTGAGCATCATTATCGTAGCGAAAGTTCCTTAAGCGCGTCAAGAATTTTCTGTCCTAACGTGGGATTAAACGATCGTCCTGTGAGTAACGTTCCGCGCTCACATAAATATTTTTTGCAAATTTTGGTGCTCCTTCCTTGAAATGATAGAAGGTTGCCGATTTGTGACCAGTTAGGCAGAGTTTTCGAGTTCTTCGATCACTGCATGGAATAACATACAAAGTAACTTACTGAAGACTGACAAAAATTTAATAAAGTTACAAATTTCTCGTCGTATAGTTACTGCCAATTTAGCGATTCTTTTCTCAGTGTACTGACTGGCAGATAAATAATGAACTTTATTGTTCATTCAAAATATTTCTCCGATTCTGATTGGCTAAAAGCACACGCATAATTCACCATAACCAGCTACTGATGGCCAAATTTGGAAGAATTTCGCGTTTAATGAAACGATGACGTCAAAAGTGCAGTCTTTTTGCAGGTTAATGCACCGTTAACCGAGAAGACCTAGGACGAGGTTGAGTTGTTTTGGTTGTGGCAACAAAAAAGGGCGGACATTTCACTCGTTTCAAGAGTAAGGACTAGGCGAAATAATAGCTAAAAACGGGGCAAGAACAACAAGAAGACCACTCTAAAGACGACATCTGCTATTTGGAGAATATTTGCAGAGCTGAAAAGCCCTAAACGTGCACTATCGAAGATGAACTTAACATCGATGGAGGTAAGCATGTTTTAGCTAATGTTTTTAAACCAGGAATTATTTTGAATGAATAATAAAACAATTATTAAATTCGGCTTTCGTACCTTATGAAGAATTATAGAGATCTCGGAGGGTGTTTTCCGCCTCGGCCGATAACACCCTCCTCGATCTCCATAATTCTTCATAAGATACTGAAGATACTAAGTGTCATTCATTAATTGTTAATTAAGAATGAACATTTAATATTTTGATAATAATAAACGCCTGAAAACGCCTTTTTTGTAGGCTAGCAAGACTAATACCAATTATTAAAATTATATCTTTGTGCATCAAGAACCTCCTTCTTCAGTGATACTTTTAATTCTCGTTTTTCATTTTAATAATGCTCTTAATTACCCCAATTCCTGGAAGTAAATGTAACGTAAGGCAATTTTCAGTAGCAAAATAAAGTGCCTAGACCAAAAGATTAAGACTAAATAGACAGTATTCGTATTCTCCGACAGTCCTGGGACGTGTAGGCCTTATTCATGAATGCGAGGCTCAAGCGGGGAACTTCTCGCCAAGAGCACAAACAAATATGAGAAAACTGCGGCTGAGTTTGCCGAATTTAAGGAAAATTTTCAACATTGTAAAGTTCCGAAGGGCTTAAATACTCGAGAGATCATTAATTCAAACAACAAAAGGAAGATCTTCTCATTACCAAGAAAAACAGCGATCCTAACCATAATTATGTTGATGAGAAGAGTGCTTGGTGAGCGAGTTTATAATTTAATATAAACAGAGATGTTCTCAAAATCCCCGAAGCCATTTTAATTGTAATTTTCAGTGTCCCTTAAACTTTTTAAAGAACATCTTTTATTGAAATGGACGTAAATTACCGAAAGCCTGCGATAAAGTTAACAGTGATGTTATTACACCTACTTTGCAGTTGAAATTTTCTAACAGAGCGGATGCAAAATCTTGTGTATTTGAAGTAAACCAAACAACTCATTCAGTGTATAATTACTTATCAGGACGGGGCTTAGGGTTCTGTACACAGTCCATGTGCATTTTAAGGAAGTTAAACCAGTTTGAACAAAGATGAATCGGTAAAGTTTATTTTTAAATTAAAGTTTACATTAACTTCGATAACAACTGTGCGAGAGTACACAAACGTGCACGCAGTTGAACACAGAGTTTGCTACAGACGATAATACTGAACAGTTTAAACTCCACACTACAGATACACACAAGAGGAGAAGAATAATAATAAGAATAAAATGTTATAAAAAGGATTCGAGTATTGACATTTTGACACAATATACCAGTTTCTTGATTACTTCTTGTTTCTTCTTTTTGCTTCGTGGCTTTTTAAATCTTGCAGGTTTTTGCAGATTTCTATCGTTTTGCAGCGATTCAGCCGCGACTAACCAATGTTTGTTTGTGTTTTTGCCAAAAAGTTCCCCTTTTTAGCCTCGCAATCATGCTGTGAAGTCTCTAGTCCCAGGGCCGTCGGGGAATACGAATATCGTCTATTAAGAAGTAGTTTCCAGAATAATATCCCTCGTTGAGGTTGAACTTACATGCTGACTGTATGTATATTCAATTTGATCTTGATGTGGCCTGAAATTATACAGGTTCAGAGACTGTTTTAGATAAACTACTAGTCATATTATTATAACATATAGGTGCGACATCTATCTACAAACAGTCTTTAATGCACGATTCTTGCGTTTTTATTCCAAGCGACAATAACTAGGTTAACGAAATATTAGAGCGAGACGTTACAATTTTTTCACGAGGTCAAGTCCTAGCTATAGGTGCATATATAACCGACCATAAAGACCGATAAGCTATAAAAAAGAATTTGATTTTGACCGTTCCTCGAGTCGAACTTAACGTTAAAATTATCGGTGGAGTCCAGCCCGGTTGTTTGTAAAATTAAAGCCCAAGTAAAAAAAATACGTGTTTATCTCTTGCCAGCAAAATTACAAGCATGGGAATTTCTAAACTTTGCTGTCATAATTCGGAGTCAGGTTTAAACTCTCGAACGCCATTCTTCCAACGCTTTGCCTGTGGAGTTGGTCACGTGATGAATGACATCACTCGTCAGCTTCTGTTTTCGTTTCGTTTGGTTATATTTATGCAAGTGTTTGGTCTCTCTGCTGCCAATGCCGGCTGGTTGATGCTTTACGGACTTATCAGTGTTGCAGTATCTTCAGCAATCTGCTCGTTCCTGATTGACAACTTCAAAATTCCATATTTGTCCAAGACGCTTGGAAAAAGGAAGGCCTGGCATTTAATTGGTACTGTGTTGGGTGCAATCGTCATTCCATTCTACTTCAGCTCCTGCTTTCTCTGTCAGAGCGATCAAGGGCAATGGCAACTGATGATATACATCCCAGTTCTTAATACAATGTTGTCATTTTCATTCGGCTTGATGGAAATTAGCCATCTTTCGATTATTCCTGCCATCGCTAAAGATCAAAGCGAAGCTGTTGAATTGAACGCATGGAGGTACATTGGCATTTTTTTTTCTATTTTGGGTTTTCTTTTGCATTGAGTTGATTTTAAGTCAAGTTGCATGTTCGAAAATGTTCCAGGTGAACTGAGGAGACATGTCAGTCGGAATTCTATGATTTTATTCGTTTTCTTAAAGGACTGCTTTTTCCTTCTTGAGTGGCATTGTGACCTTCATCGTGGCATGGTTGATAATAGGACAAGATAGCAGCGACCATATATCGGCAGAGAACTCGATGGATTTTACGGTATGAATACTTGGAATACTACTTAAACAATATAAATATATATTGCACGCACGAAAGCACGTCTTTTCTCCTTTAAATTTCAGGTTTTGACTTTAATTCTGATTGGAATAAGTCTACTATTTGCTGTAATCTTTCACGTTGGAACCAAAGAACCTTCTGAAGAAAGTGTTGAAAAACTATCCAAAAACGAACCGGTAAGATTTGGTAAATGTTTACGTTACCAAGACCACCCTTAATAAACATCCGGAACCAGCAGATATTAAACTAGTAATAATAATAATAATAATAATAATAATAATAATAATAATAATAATAATAATAATAATAATAATTCAAACCTATTTATACAGGATTGCTGCATTAGTTTTAAGAAAAAACTGCTATCAATGCAGGTCCTGTAATAACCAAAGCCGGGTTAGGGAGTGCAGGCGACAACGATCGAAGGTCCAAATGCTTTTGCTCCAACGCTGTGCTTTGCGTAAGGTTCACTTGATATATGCTCAAAAGACGCGTGATCAGATTACGAGAGGTAGAAGGTCGAAACGCGCGTGATCAAATTGCGTTTTGTACATTCCATTCATTCTTAGTGGAAGTCCAAACGAATGCTGGTAATGCTGGCTACACACATGCGACGCATGCGTAATAACAACCTGGAGATTAGGATTGCTTTTTCAAGGTTCAGGTTCCATGTTCAAGTTTATTTCGCACTATTCAAGTTGATACAGTATAAGATGGCTTACAGAATCAGTAGGTTAACAAATGATGAAAAATAAACATAATATACAAGTTTCGTGTAACTTGTGAGTATAGTTTATGGATTGATAGGATTTGACTCTGCTACTGATGAACAGATGAGCCAAGAGTCAAAGATGGATACAAACTCTGAGTCACCAGGGAACATTGTTAACGAAGTAAACGGCATTCAAGGAACAAACACCGGAATAGGGGCAACAGATTTCAAAGCTAACTCTTCAGTTTCTATCGAGCACCTTGGTGTTGACAATACAGGATATAAATGTGAAACAGAATTGGGTGTTCCTGCGTTACAAACCAACACGACTAAAACAGTTCCCCGAATTACATCTGGTGACCTCCAATCTCCTCTTCCAGTTTCGCCCAAACCTAAGACAGTACGAGCCTGGCTCAAGGATCCACATCTGTATAAGGTGAATTAGGTTCTTTGGGGTTTTCTTGCTTTATTTTGTTGGTATTAGTAAGATTTTCTGCATGGAATGAGTTACTTATATATCCAGTTGTGATCGAAAATTTTGTCCTTACTGTTTTGTTTTGCTTTTTTTCACGTAGGTTGCTATCATCTTCACGTGTACAATGTCTGTCATAAGCCAGGCGTACGCCTACCTTCCATTGTTTCTTATCTACAGAGTACAGTTTGGAAAGGTAGGGTATATACTAACAAAAATTAGACACGCAGTGCCACGTCCGCAAAGTCATTTTCAGGAGCATGCATGAAGCAGTTATTACAAGTTCTGTAATTATATACCGCACCCGTATTGGACACTATAGACCATATAGATAACACCTTTATTCAAAGAATTGGCCAGATATACTCAGACAGTCTCGCTTTGAATTTCATTTCAATTTGGTCATTTCAATCTGCTTTTGGTAATACTTGCATGTATTGTAGATGGGTAGACTACGAGTAGTCCCCATTTTCCCTCAGGGATAGTAGAGCGAGCGAAACGCTAGCGTGCGTGAAAATCCCCGGCGCGGCGGGGAGAGAGCGTCTCGCCTTTCTCGCGTGGGGTGATTTTCACGCGCGCTAGCGTTTCGCTCGCTCTACTATCCTTGAGGAAAAATGGGGACTACTCGTAGTCTAGGAGATGGGTTGCTTTGAAGAGATATTGATGGTCTTGTGTTTCACTAAAACCTCGTCATCAAGTTGGTGCTAGGTTTTTAATAATTTTTGCTCTACGCTTTCAACAGGAGGCCATAGCATATTTGCCACTTATAATGTTGATAAGTGCAGCATTGTCTTCGGCACTGTCCAAGAAACTTGTAGCCATAATTGGAAGCAAGGTAAGAATCATTACCTAGGTTTTTCAAAAATTATTGTCCGATAAACGAAAAAGCAAAACGCACTTTTAGCAATGAACAAAAACATCTCCCTATCTTGTTCTGTCTTGGGTATACGGACATTTCAAACTGAAGTGGTCCAGTTGTGCTTCAGGAATGCTCATAAGAAAATTGCGGTTTCATTGCAGGTTTGCATTGCATGGAGTGTATGGGTGCGGTGTAACTGCATGGAAGGCCGGGTCCCGGTTGTCCTTTTAATCACACCAAATCCTGCTGCATTTCTAAATTTTTCAAAACCGTAAAAATACCTTGTTTGAACTTGAAACTGAAAAGGTGAAATAAAAGGCTACTGAGCTGGCAATCCGATTTTTCTCTTAGATCCGTTAGTCACAACTATTGCCTACGTTTTTCGCGCCTTGCAGCTTCGTCATCTCACCGCTCGTGGGCGCCACCACCGTAACTTTGAAGAAAATAAGAGACTCTTTGCAGACCAAAAAAATATGTATCTTCTTCCTTGTATCTTTTGGACCCCTCATTTGGAGATAACTAGCTTCATTTGTTACGGCTCTAAATTTACGCTATGAATCTAGTACAATGAGTTGCTTTTCCTTTGAAAAAACCACCAAAATTGTTTAGTTAGTTAACTTTAATTACGTTAATTTTAACTCTCGTGTTTTCATTTTTTTCCAGTGGTGTTTTGTCCTTGCTGCCCTCTTCGTGATTACAGCTGGTGTATGGTTTTATTTCATCACCAAGTCCAGCAGAGTAATGACCTACCCAGCCACTGTGTTACTGGGTTTTGGATTCTCCGCTATGCTCGTGAATGCACTAAGCTTCGCTGCGGAACTCATTGGAGACAACAAAGTGAGTTCACTCATTTAAGGGACTGTGTAATTATTATCAGGAAGGGGGGGTCCTAAAATGAGCTTCACCAAAGGAAAAATTAGATAGGTCCCCCCTCCAGCAGCGTCAAGATTAGCTCTGACCCCCCGTCACGTTCTCTCAAAATTATGATGTGCCCCCCCTCTCTAACCCGTACCTTTATTCACCGTACTGCAACGCATTCCACTGCGTCGTCAGGGATGAAGAGCACCTCGAAACTTTGTTCTTCATAATCGTCAATTTCCGAATTCTGATTGTTCATTATCTTCTTGGTCTTCGGAACTGCTAGATTGCTGCTCATCCGGGTTTTCTTTACCTTGAGCTTCCCCAGCACCTAGAATCGAACACGAGCTACGAGTGCTGCTTTCCCTCCGCTGACGGGTAAACCGTGTTCCTTTAGGTAGAGTTTCATTTTACTTGCAGACAGGGAGAGGACCCGAACCTGTATAATTTTTCGGTCTTTGGGAGGTGAACCCATTGATGACAACTATGAAACAGAAGCATGTAGCATTCCTCAGCTAGAAACTGTAGACCTAGAAACCCTCTCGCTGTTTAAATCAAGAACAGACCTGGCATGTCTGCGGGACCC